ATAAAATTTTGTGGTCTTCAATTATATATACATAAAATATATTACAATGATTTATAATTTTGTAATATTAAATATCTCAAAAAATAATGGAACATTTTTTTAAAAATGAAGTAAAAAGAAAACTAACAAAAATAAATTAAGAAAGGCAGGATTAGTAATTATTTAGTTATCTGAATGACGTGTCATGTATTCCTGAATTGTTTGTTTTTCCTCAATTACAATTTTGGTCCTTGTACTCTCCAATTCTTCATATTTTCTTTTTATGGATTTGGGTCTGATGACTTGAATGAGTCCATCATGAATTATGCAGAAAGTAACACTTGAAAGTAAAGAATAAAAGATGTTTACGAGGAAACTTTGGAGGAAAATTCACGATCTAGCTCACAAGATTTTAACAATAATAACTTTATTAATTAACACGCTAATTAGATTCAGATTACAAGCTTTTGCAATTTAGTAATTAAATCATTAAGCCCTTCTCTTCGTAATAACTTTATTACAAGACAAAACAAAACAATGACTTTATTGTCCAGTGTTCACTATATAACTAAACTCTAATTAACATAGACTTCACTCAAAACTCGACAAAGCTAACTCTAGCTATAAACTCAACTTAATGATGATTACAACTCAAATAATGATCAATATTTTATTATAGCATAGGAGTAGATCTTACATAGTTAGAACACAAGACATTAACCTCACGTTACAACTAAAAACTACACTTGATCCCTTGATCATGTCCCTTGTTGTGTATGAGAATAATGCTTTCTTGGGAGAAATTTGCTTTCGCCTTTTTGTGAAAATCTTTTTTGCAAAAATTAGGTTTGTTTATTATCAAAGAGATCAATATAAGATGGACAAAAGCAACTTAGTGCAATGCCATTGATTGATAACTCTTCACCTTTTTTCTTGCGTTCACCAATTATTACAGTTGTGTCAGCTTTAAGCTTAAAGAATTGACAGTTAACCCGACCTTATTACTTGTGTTATTTCTAGTTGCTAAGACCATCTCCAACCCAACACCAAATTTTACATCAAATCCTATATTTGGTGTAAAATTTGGTGTTTTGAGCTCCAACCCAAACCAATTTTGACATCAAATTTGGAGTGTGAATAGTGTTACACCAAATTTGGTGTAACACTATTCATCACACCAATTCATTTTTTGAATATTTTTAATATTATTTTCATTATACAAACTTTTAATTAAACATTATATAAATTGTATGTTTTAATTAAAACTCTTATATATTTAATTATTTTTTATGTAATATTTTTATAATATTAATTTTGAACTCCTCTTGATATTTAGAATCAATCGAAACAACATTCAATCTAAATAACTAACAAACTTAAAATTTAATTCAAAGCTAATCATATTAGAAGAGACACATATGAGGTGAGAAAGAGTGGGGGGAAAAGAAGTAATTTATTTTGGTATAAGGTAAAGAATGAGGTCATTTCGAGTAAATAATGAAAGTCTTGGCCAAATTATGTTAACTAAAATTGTGGACCATACCTTTGGGCAATTCTTTTCTTAATGGATTTCTTACATAAATACCGGATAACAAGAGGAGAATTCTAGATTTAAAGATCAACGGGGCATCATTATTATACTATAGGCTCTAGCAACAAATGTGTCCAATTGATCATAGTAGTATGAACAGCGAAAATTTATAGTTCAAGTATGAATTCAAAATTAATAAGTACTTATATTTTTGCTTAGCAATTGATTGTGATAGCTCCATGATCAACGATGTGGTGAATCCCTCGTAGGCACACTTTTGTTGTTATTATAGCCCTTAAATCATTAACAAAGAATAATAACAAAAATTCTTATTTGTATAATTGATTGTTATCACTTGTATCAATTATATTGTGTATATACAATTTATATATTTGGTATACTAAATGTATAACAATTTGTTAGTATGTGATATCTCAAAATGTACTTTGTTATAGTGACAAAATTTTGCCTAAGATCTTCAATAATTATTGCATAATGATATATTATTGAAATTATCACCTTTTTTGTTTGTCTGCAGGATTCAATTTTCCACTCTTAGGAGATTTATTTCCTTTTATTGTGTGTTTTCCTTAATTAAATGAATAAATAGTAGTACTTGAACCATTAAAAACCAACAATTATACTCAAAAAAAGGAAAATTCAAATTATTTTTAAATAATAGAATTAATTTTTCCAAATTTATGGGATGCTGAATCGTTTCAATAATTATGTTGGCCTCTTTTCTTATAATTAATGATATTATAAATAGGGATTTGGGGTTAATTAGAGAGAACAAAGTTAATTAATTTTCATTATGGATGCAAAACGCAAACAATGTATCCTCTCACTTTCTTCACTTTTGATTTTTATATTAAAATTCTCTGATTTTGCATTGCTAGTATGTTACTTTTTTTTAATTATTTAATTATAATGTCCTAAATATTATAGTTTGCCTTGATACATGCTTATGTTGAGTTTTATCTTTACAGATCTGGTACGTCTAAGGTCAGCAGGTCGATTTATGCAAATTATCATTCAAGATGACACTCAAAATATTATTCAACGGAATTCATTATCAAAATGTTTCTTACCCAAGTTTGGAGCTCAAGACAACATGGATGGTACTAAAGAATATCAAAACCGTTTTGCCTTAATGGTTGATCCAGGAAATACAATAGCTATAGCTAAAGCATACATTCAAGAGGAAAAACATATTCCTTTTAAAAACAAAGGCTTTTGAGCAAGGATGGTAAAGATTTGAGTGATGCGCAAATTTTATTTGCATTAGGAATCAAAAAGGGTTCTACGTTAATTTTGCGATACGCACCGATAACAAAAATATCTATGAAAATGCTTATGTTGTTCTCTATGGTCAAAGATCCATGGTCAATGAGTCGAACAATGCAAATTATCATTCATGATGATACTTACAAAGATGCGATTGGATCTAAGTACATTATAGATGGTATTGCTAAAGATTGTCGTATTTCTTATACCTTAATGGTTGCACTGGATGATAGTATTATTGCAGTTAAAGCCTATATTCAAGAGCAAACTGGATTTTCTTTTAAGAATTAGAAGCTTTTGTACGAGGGTGCAGTTTTAAGAAATCCTCAAACTCTTGTTTCTCTAGGAATGAAGAAAGGATCTACCTTAATCCTTCGATATGAACCAATATCGAGCAACAAGATTACGAGTTGTATATTTAATATTAAGATTGAGCGTAATGACACAGTTGGAGATCTTAAAGCTATCTTTCAAGTAAAGACTGGAATTCGATTTCATACACTGAGATCAACCTATCGTGGACAAATATTGGCTAATGATAAGCTTCTTGTTGACCTTGATAATTAGTATTATAGTGTTCTTAATATTATATTAAGCTTGAATTATCTTTAGTGTTAGTACTTCTTTCTATTCATATTTTTAATTTGTCCAACAAGATGATTTTTTCTTATTTCATACTAGTAGTTATTTTTAATTTTCAATTGTTCCAATTTGTTTTTGGCAATTTTTGTCCACTGAGATTTAACTAACCTTCAAAGCTAAATTGAATCATTTTTATGTAGAAACTATAGGATTACATAAGCTAGAATTTTCCTCGTATCAAAATAATTAGACATTAAATTAAATACATTTTTAATTTAATTTATATGAAACCGATTGTACTTATAATATTAATAAAAATCATAACCCGCCATGGATGAATATTAGCTGATGATGAGCATTTTGTTGACCTTGATGTTTAGTATAGAGTATTATAATTCCATCAAATTACAATTAGTACTTTTTTCTATATTTCTTCTATGTAATCGATCAACAAGATGATTTCTTTTAATTATTTCATATTTCGTTGATTGTTTGGTCTTCGAATCTAAATTTAATTAGATGATAATATGCACATAATGCCTATTAGCATATGATCTAATTTGTATATTATTTTCTAATACATATATGACAGTGATAATAATATTGACAAAAAAAAAAGTTAATTAAAACTTTATTTCGGCCTAAATATGTAACGTAGTTACTCTAATACGTGCAAATGGAAATTCAGATGGAATGGATTAGCTCTTAACATTATGAGATTTGTGTAAAATTTCCATAATTTAACTAATAATTCATTTTGGAAACACTTATTTGTGTCAAAACTCAAAACTTTTGGTAAGAAAAAAGTAATCAACCTCAATAATCTCTCACCAACCATTTAATAAACATATAATATTTTGTATAATTCATATTATAATGAGTATTTTACCATTAATAATCAATATATACAAGCCAAGAAAAGTAAATACGAACAACTTGCTTGGATGATTTTTATATATTGTATTGTACTCTACTGTTTTATTAGTTTAAATATCATGCTTGTTATCTAAATTACGTAATGTGTCTTATTTTAAGTAACAATCGATTTAGTTTGATAGCATATTATTTTTTTCTCATTTTACATTACTTATTATTTAATAATTCTATTTTATCTTTTACTCTACATTTTTATGGTTACTCTATCCTTACTCTACTTTTCTTATAAGTTTATTATTCATATCAATTATGAGTGATATGATATAACAATTTAAAATGATACAATCAGTTCTAAATTTATATTCATCAAATAAATATTGTACGATGCAATACATTATTTCAAATCATAAGTAATAATTATCGAGACAAAGTGTAACTAATTCCACTACCAATGAAAGATAGGTAGGTAAGCACGCGAATTGTACCGATCAGATTCAATTGAGTGACGATTACTCTATCTCTTAAGAAAGAACCTATCATTTGTTCAATTTGATCGATTTGATACTTAGTTAATTCTTTTATCTTTATGTTTCCACTGATACCTAATCGATAACGAACCTGAATGGCTTTTTTAGGGCTAATTCCATCAATTTTGGTTGAGGCATTTCTTACTTGTTCATCGCCAACTAATCGAACGTGCGTGCTTGGCCAGTTGGCCCTTAGAAAAGAATCAGTTCCACACACGAGTGAGTTAAATAGATAAAGGTGCACTCAACTTAATTTTTTGGATGAGATGATCACACTATTCAATAGAGCTAAAGTCAACGTCAGTTTCAATTGCTTCCCTTGATTGTCGCGTGCTTACTTATTATGTTTGCTACGGTCACTGCATAACTTGTGAACATTCAGAAGTACAGGTCAATCACCTTCCAACCCTTGTCACCTTTCATCCTCTTAATCTGTAAAAGGGTTTCCTCTCAAATGGCAACTATTATGTTTAGTGTATTGATTATTTTTGCCTTATTTGCAGGAGGATTATGATAAGTTGGTGTCACAGCTCCGTCGCCTTAGACACGAGTCAACTGTATGTTCTCTTGTTTCTATTGCGTGTAAAAATCTTTTGTGCAATGAAATGTTGGAGACAAAGGAGATTTTAGAGTGTCATGTTATGGGGTTATACTAGTGTATGGGTCTCTAGGTAGAAAAAAATTAATTGTGTTTGATCGAGTAAGACCAGAAAGTTTGCTGAAACCTTGGTTGTCCTGTCTTTTTGATGTCAACATTTTGCAGTGGTGACCAGTTCCGTTTTGTAGCTTCTTCTCTTGTGAATCTAAACGCAAGTATATCCAGTCCCTTTATCACCAAGGGGTGTGGTAGGATGGTTGGAGTCCCTCCATCCTACTCTCTCAACTGTGAAAGTTCCAATTTTTCTGTGTCAGATTTCACTGTTAACTGAAAGAAGGATGTAATTAGGCATCTATCTGTAAATATACATTTGAAGATAGAAAGAATAAATGATCATATGGATAGGGATAGTGATGGGTATCATTTGGTTTATCTGATATCTAGAGTACTAGTTAAGTAAAAACCCGCTTCACTTGTATTTGAGATTCTTAATGTCTCATACATGTTAAACCTTCCTCTTCCGCTTTAAAAGCTTTTCTTGTTTGACTTCCCAAACAATGATATGGGATTTGTAGCGCATTGTGTTTATTTAAGTGATTAATTTAGCTTCTGTGGTATACGAAGGATAGTATTGTCCTAGTTCAGTTTATACTTGTCTTAGCAAAGTTGTCTGAAATTGTTATATGTATGGTAGGTTGGTGCTGGCCTTCCTGTCATAGCATCCTTAAATCGCATAATTTCATCAGGAGACCCTGTGTACCGTATTATTGGGAGTTTGAGTGGTAATATTTTATGACCATTTATCATTTAGGCTATATATGCAATAGCAAATGATTATCCTTAGTGGTTATCTTGCTTGTTATAAACATTAGGAGCATTTGATGGTAAGATGCCATATATCTTGGTATCTAACAGGTACCCTGGGCTATGTAATGAGTGAGGTTGAGTATGGAAGGCCATTCAGCCAAGTCGTTAATGCTGCTAAAAGCCTTGGCTACACTGAACCAGGTGATAAGTTACAACCACCCTATTATTGTTGTAATATCACCATATGAGTATTGAAGATATGACTTACAAAAACAGAAAAGTGGTTGTTGAAAATATGATATGTTTTGTGGTTGTGAAGTTAGTTTGAGGAAAAATTGGTAAAAAGTTGAGTTTTTGAGAAGTTGAGTTTTTATGAGTTAAAGTTGGTTAAAAAGTGTTTTTTCGAGTTATTTGGAGTTTCGGGACTCGGATCGGATTTCCGTCGATTCCGACGGTTTTAGAATGTCGAAACGGGTCTGTGTGAAGTTACGGAGTTGAATTTGGAGTTGAAACGAAGAATTGAGGTCCTAAGTTGCTATAGTTATGAAATTGTGATAAAGAGTTGACTTTGGTCAACATATGAGGTTCCTAGGCTCAGATTGAAATTCCGAGAGTACCGTTGGTTTCGGGAGGCGATTCCAAGTCTAGAATGAGTCTTGGTTGAATTTTTAGACGCTCCGTTTGAGTTTCGAATTTTTT